GGACCCAATCAATGGGCTAAAAAGAACAAACAATGCACAATACTTAAATATTCCTAGATTGAAAGCAAAAGCTAAAAGAACACTTTGAGGACAAAAAAAAAAAAGAAAAGAAAGACTCAAAAAGAAAAATTTGAGTATGAACTAGATGTAAGATGACATAAAAAATTATTGTTCATTTGCCTACTTGTGATAATGATATTGTGTGTGTGTGTATATATATCCTAAAACATCAATATCAAAGAACCTATGCACCACAATGTTCATAGCAGCACAATTTACAATAGCCAAGAGTTGGAAGCAACCTAGGTGCCCATCAGTAAATGAATGGATCTAAAAATTGTGGTACATATACACAATGGAATTCTATGCTGCAGAGAGAAAGAAGGAGCTACTACCTTTTGCAACAACATGGATGGAACTGGAAAGCATTATGCTGAGTGAAATAGGCCAGGTGCTGAAAGACAAATACCATATGATCTCACCTTTAACAGGAAGCTAAACAACAAAACAAACAAGCAAGCAGAAAAAAAAACAAAGACACTGAAATAGAGAACAAGGGGATAGTGACCAGAGGGGAGAAGGAAGGGAAGTTAAGGGGAAAAAGGGGGAGGGATTTGGAGGAACAAATAGGAAGGACACAGGGACGAGAACTAAGGGGGATGTAAATGGGAGGGAGGTAGGGAGCAAGGGGTGGGGGAGGCTGGGATGGGAAAAATAGACAAAAAACTGTACTTGAAAAATAACTAAATAAAATTAATTAAAAAAATGGATCAGCAAAACATATAGATGAAAGGTTTTATAAACTTTCAGCTACGGGTAAGGTCTTAGGATCTAATATAAAACATGGTGACTCTTGCTGATAACATTATTGAGTAATTGACATTTGCTGAATAGAACTTTTTACCAAAAAAAGATTAAGAACAAAAAAACTGTAATGCAATGACTGGAGTACTGATGACACAATTGTATATTTGTCAAAACTATCAAACTATACTTGTAAAACTTGTGCATTTTATTTTACATGAACTCTACCACCTAAGTAAAATTTAGATTAATGCAAAGTATTTAGCTCCATTTATGAAAATTTTTAAAAGACATAAAGCAAATGTGAGAAAATGTTAACTGTTAAGTCTAGGTAGTATACAAATGACCATTATAGTATTTTTTCAACTTTTCTGTAAATTTGAATAATTTTATAAGTTGAGAGAAAAGTAAGTAAAAATTATTTTAATAGGAGGTAGAATTATTTTCATAAGTTAAATAAATTTCTTGACCAAAATGATCCTTGGTCAAGAAATTTATATTTAAATAAGTAGACTAGTGGAATTGACTGTTAAGAGTGAAGTTTTCTGGTGGTTAGAAGAGTCCAGAGAAACCTGCGGAAGCAGTAGGAATCGCAAAGAGAGAAGTTTCTAGAGAAAGGGCAGGAAAAGTTTCTAGAGAGAGTGCTGGGGGAAATTGGGGTGACGAGATTGCAAAGCTAGAGAAGAAGACTTTCCCATCTGTTTAATCTTTGTGATTAGAAACTAAATTATATCAACTTTCCCAGCCTTAACTCTTAGCTCATAGTTTAACCTTAAATTCCCTTTTGTGCTTCAGACAAAAGTCACGTGCAACACGAGAGATATCTGTCATCAGTACTCAGAGTAAGATATAACCAAGTCCAAGGCTGAGTCTATACAAATCACTAGCTTCACCATTTGCCTGTGAATTTGTAATGGTCAATTGTTGAACCACCACTGGGATTTCTATGTATGCTAATGTCAGTTATTTTAGTAACAAAGTTGATTGACTACAGAATCCTATTAGTTGCTAGGTCATCAGCCTTTATTACCACAAGGAAAAATGAGTCAATTGAAATCCGGTCAATTCAGTGAGGCTGTGCAAACACTATTAACCACTTTTCAGGAGTTAGACCCTTGTCATCAGACAAAAATAAATACAGGTATATTGCCTATAATAAAAAGGAGTTCCTTTTTAATCCTCCAAAATTTATTTATTTTTTTTTTTTAATATATTTTATTAATTATGCCATTACAGTTGTTCTATTTCCCCCCTCATTCCCCTCCACCCTGCATACCCCCTCCCCCACCATCCCCCCTTTAGTTTATGACCACGTGTCTCAAGTTCTTTAGATTCTATATTTCCCATACTATTCTTGCCCTCCCCCCTATTTATTTTCTACCTACCCTCTATGCTACTTATTTTCTGTACCTTCTCCTTCTCCCACTCCCCTGTTGTTAACCCTCCATGTGATCTTCATTTCTATGGCTCTGCTCCTGATCTAGCTGTCCTCTTAGTTTGCTTTTGTTTTAGGTGTGGTTCTTAATAACTGTGAGTTTGCTGTCCTTTCGCTGTTCATCTTTTTTATCTTCTTTTTCTTAGGTAAAGATTCAACACATGCCCAAGACATTGCTCGAAGAGGTACATTGCAGCTTCAGGCTCAGAACCTCATTTCAGAGCTACTTTTTACTTTCAAAACTGACTTAGAGTGGGTATGGAGATAGGAAAAAAGTCTAATTTTGCCTTCCAAATCTAGTCCAGCAGTCTGTCTATGAGGAAATAGAAAGAGAGCCCACAAATTTTATCTACTTTTTTCCTACCCATTATGAAAAGAATGAGCCATATAATCTTCATTACTGGACAGACAAGTTCTATCTCATCTCCGAGTCCATTTCTTCTCTTATAAAACAGGAGTAACACATCTGTACAATGGGGCTGACTTCAATTTGCTCTGCCTACCTTAAAAAAGCTGAGAGAAAGCAAAATGAGTACCTCGAAGACTGTTTTCAAATAAAACAAATGGCTTTAAAAATACTTGTTTAGGCCTGGCTGGTATGGCTTAGTGGTTGAGTGCTGGCCTGCTAATCAAAGGGTCACTGGTTTGATTCCTGGTCAGGGTACATGCCTGGGTTGTAGGCCAGGTCCCCAGGGGGAAACATGCAAGAGGCAACCACACATTGATGTTTCTCTCCCATTCTTTCTCTTTCCCTTCCCTTCTATCTAAAATACATAAATAAAACCTTTAAAATATATTTGTTTAAATTACATTTTCATTTGTTTTATGGTTATCTATATTCCACTGCACAACGTGTAAGAAAAAAATCATAGGATTCAATTTTTACTACCTAGCTACCTAGTGAACAGGTTGGAAATCATCTATGAAGAACACAAGCCAAAAATATTTAACCTAAATAATTAGTCAAACACAGATATGGGGACTGCCTGGACTTCTCAAAAATATCATGAAAGATTAAAAAACAAAAGGCAGCAAGTGGAGGGCACAATTTAGATGAAAAGGAAACAAACAATAGACCAGATGCAACCCGTGATCCTTGATGGGGTCTTGGATCAATCAATAAATAAAAATTAAAAAGAACTGTTTGGGGACAATTGAGGCAATTTGCTCTGTATATTAGATATTATTTTATCAAGAGTAAATTTCTTCAGTATGCTAATAATATTATGGTTATGTGGGGAAAATCCTTGTTTTTAGGAGAAGCATGCTGAAATATTCTAGGAAAGAACTGTTATGCTTTCTACTACTTACACTGAAATGGTTCAGAAAACAATTTAAACCACATAGTGAGAAAGCACATGTGACAAAATGTTAACAATAGATAAAGAATTTAAATGAAGGGTATGCAGATGTTCATTATTCTGTTCTTGCAACTTTTCTATACCCGTGAAATTTTCAAAAGACTAAGGTGGAGAAAAGTGCTACTTAAACAAAACAAAACAATGAATTGGCAAATAATTTTAAAACTTTAACAATTTTCCAATAAAATTATATTTTGATAAACCCAATTTTCTAAACCAAAATAAATTCACTACGTTGTAATACTGAGGTATTATTTAAGAGCAACACAAATCTTTCTAATACACAAAAGAGATAAATTAAGTGGGCTTAATTATATAATAAAAGGTCTCCCTGAAGCATTTCCTTTAAGTAAAGAGCTGTGTAATTTCTAAAAGCAGGATAGAAACAAACCATATGTTATTACTGGAAGAGTTCATAGAAATTAACCCACATCCTTATTTATTAGCAAACCGGTATCTACATGCTTTTAAAGACACGCCACTTTACATTTTTCTTCAAAAGGAAATTTAAAGAAAAGTGGAACATGTATAGTTAACAGATGGGATAGTTTATATTTTATCATATACTTCAATTTAACCAGTGCAAAGGCAAGAAAATTAAAACAACTAGAAAAATTAAGTTCAGTCTTTAGGAAGAAAAATGGACATTCTGCTCTAGAGGTGCCATTCAAGTATTCTAGAGCAGGAATCCTAAAAAGCCGGGGGGGGGAGGGGCTCTAGTAAACCTGCAACTAGATGAAGATAAATTTAAGATCCTGGAATAAAAGAAAATCTGGCTTAACATGAAAAGTTTTCCTAAAGATTTGTGGCTAAAAATTTTTGTCACTAAATTTTCATCATTTCCTTTGTGACAGTCCTCTGTGTGTGTACATTTAATAGATGCTCTGGGTGGAATGGTACTACTTTTTAAATGCAGTGCAAGCACTACAGTATTCTAATGAGCCGTCAGCCTTTCCTAGTCCAACAGAAGGTTGGACAATTGCCCATCAATCCCATAAGCAATCAGAAAGGATGCTCAGAAATATCTCTTCATGGATTCACTTAAATACCAGCCAGAAAGAACATCACTGTAACATGAGCTAACAATTTATGCTTATGTAATCTCTTAATTTAAAAATTCATGGAAAATTTAAATATCCTCTTAATGTAGAGTTAAGTTCTCTGCTTTAAACCCTATTATAGATTTCCAATTCCTATGTTTTTTTAGGAACTATATATTATTTCCTTTACAGAATAAGCTGTATAATAGAAGGAAAAATAGGATTAATTATCTTCGTGAACAAACCTATTTTAGTAGTACTTCCCTTTTCTTTTTAAGATGGCAACCATATAAATTGTATAGAAATGGACAAGCATCATTAACTGTTATATTTTTATTTCCAAAATAACATTTTATTTACCTTGTTAATGGACACCACCAAAGCTGGCTCCACTTTAGCTTCAATTTCTTCTGGAGTGTAAAAACAATAGAGTTTACCTCCTTTCAAAACACAATACAACCGTCTCCAACTAATCCGACCTTCTAACATTTGCTGGAAAAACAAATCGAGAAACTATCAATCTTAAATCATTATTTATCATCTTAACTCTAAATTCAACAAAATACCTTAAATTATCAAAGTTTCATTCGTTTTTTGAAACTGTTAAATGTGTTTATTACCCATCAATTTACTAGATAAGTCAACAGCACAGCCCAAAACCAAAGAGTAAGTTTCTACTAGAGAGTAAAGGCCTGGAGTTCTCAAAGCCATTAAAAAAGCAAAATGGAAGTAATGATCACCACATAACTTTACATACAGAAAGTCATAAATCAGTGCAGCTTTAGAGAAGCTAGTCTATTAAAAATGAATACTTAGAATTCCACAGCAATTCATCTAATGGCTCAGGAAAATTATAAAAATAGCTCGATATTCAAAATATAACTTTCCCTTACCGTTCTTAGAACCCTGGAAAATGTTGACTACCCTGTAAGAATGCAAATTTTCTTTCTGCTTAATGCAATCTTTCAGAAAAAGCTATTGATTCACTGGAGCCCATAATTAATTATTTACTGAATATAAATAACTATGGTTATAAATAAATCAGGAGTAGGTGACACAGAGGCAGCTTCGGAAACCCAGAGGCCTAAGCTGTGCCAAAAGCTGTCTGCCAGAAGGGCCTTTGTGTGAGAGGTGCTGAGCGGCCCGCTTGGGTTTTCACAAGGAGTCCTCTGTTGCTGATGATCCTGGTGCTTCGATTAAGGAAACAGAGGAACCTAGAAGGGTAGCTCCTTAGCCATCCAAACTGCGTGAGGCCCCTCCCCTTCCTCCCTTCTCACCCCCAGGGTAGCGGGGGAGGTAGCGGTCTCCCCCGCTACCTCCAAATCTGTGTCCAACACTGATAAAACTGTTATTTAAAAGAAGACTCTAAAAATTACTTTTCGGTATCAGAATTAAGATCTAAGTTGGAGCTGTAAGTGTTGTAGAATATTTAAGGTCGTCTAACCTGCTGATTAAGAAATCCTGCAAATGCATCCTCTGCCATGCAAGCTGGCTGGGCGACTAACCGGCAGCACATGTTGCCATATAAGGGAAGCCAAAACGAAGACTCCTCTATTTAAACGAGAGAAAAAAAATCAAATTACAATTATTTTTAATGTCATTACACATTTTTTCCCTTTTTACAATTATTTTGGGCTTATATAAAAACACACATAGATAAAGGTTCATCCTACTCAAACACCATAGTTAATGACAAAATCAAGTACCATAGTTAATGACAAAATCAAGTAAGAGATGATATAAAGCAGTTTATAGCATGCTATCACCTGGAATAGACATGGAGATATTAGTCTCTTGATCTCTTGTTTGATCTTAAAATGATTAACCAATAGAGGTAGTTCACGGGCATATAAGTAAACTCATTTAATGTAGAAAATTCTAATTCAATGATTTTTATATATCAAATTCTACTTTTGCTGAGTTTCACTATAATAATTAGCAAAGTGACCCTCTGAATAAAACATTTTGGAGCACAACTTTAAGAAAATTATTTAATAAACCTTTTGCCTTCCCTTCTTCTTCCCCTACCTAACTGAAGAATTTAGTTGTAAGTCATTAGGTGGAATCCACCAAGCTGGGCATCTGTGCTGGGGTGGGGGCGAAGCCGCGGCGTGCTCCGGCTGGGTGAGAGGGGAAGAGGAGGGTGAGTCAAAGAGCTGCCTGGCACGAGGGATCAGAGCCAGAACTGGCCGAGGACGACAGATTACATGGGGCACAGCCTAAAGCCCAAAGGAGGTCTCTGCTCAGGGAATGGGCTGGCAGTGGGAGTCGGGCAGGAGCAGAGAGAGGGGGCCTGCCCCATGTGAGGTATTAGAGCCCAAGGAGAGTGAGAGGAGCACATTTGGGGGGGGGCAGCCATGAAAGTCAGAGTCTGAGGGCAGCAAAGAAGCCATCCACACGTTTGATGACCCAGAAAGAAGGGCATCCCAGCAGAGAACAGCTGGGCAGGGGGTGTCAGAGCACAGGCAGGCTGAGGAGGGTGTCGACTCTGATGACAGTGAGGGTAACCAGACCCGGGAAAGTAAAGCCAGAGCAGGTAAAAGAGTGTGCACATGGGCAGGGGCTGCCCAGAGTGGGAGTCAGAGCCCCAGCAAGCAGAAGAAGTCACCAAGGCAGAGAAGGGAGGATGGTTGCTTTCAGAGAGACTGATTAAAGAAGAAAAACCACTAAAGATAACAGAGAACAGTTTTCTTATTGCCAGAGAAAGGAGTTACACATATGTAGAATGAACTCTCTGTGGTTTGGATTAGAACTGGATATACTAGTGTGAATTTATGGTTTTCAACCACAAGGATTAAGAAATACATGACAGGACTTCCGCCAAGATGGAGGCGAAGGTGAAAGCACTGCACCTTCTCACACACCAAGTTTAAAAGCAACAAAGTTTTAGCAACAAAAACACAGCCAAACCACAGAAAATTTAACTACACGGAAGTCCGACAACAACGAACCCTTCAGTCAAACCGGTAAGAGGGGCAGAGCCAGCGTCAGAGCCAGCAGCAGAGCGGGGTCAGGCAAGAAAGATCCACCAGACCCACCGGGCCTGCGACCCAGGTGCGCCAGCAGCTATGGGAGGATCCCAGGTGTGGAGAAGTGGGTGGACCCACTGAGGGTGCAAGGCGGTGGACCCACAGAGGACTGATCTCGGTCACAAATTCCCGCGCAGATAAACCAGTGAAGGAGCTAGCAGTGAGACAGACCATGCAGGCCCCAGTGGCAGGAAGCAGCAGAGGAACCGCCATTGACCCTCTCTGACCCCGCCCCCACATACAGCATCACAAACCAGCGACCTGGGTAGCCCCGTCCTGGTGAACAACTAAGGCTCCGCTCCTCATATGTAACAGGCACAAACAGATCAAAACAGGCCTCAAGAACAACTCAAAGCCCTAGAGGCAATAAATCTAAGCGACCAACAAATAGCCAAACTTTCAGATGCACAGTTCAAAACACTGGTGATCAGGATGCTCACAGAACTGGTTGATTTTAGTCACAAGTTAGAGGAACATATGAAGGCTAAACTAATTGAAATGAATGGAAATGCACAGGAAACCAATAGTAATGGAAAGGAAACTGGGACTCAAATCAAAGGAGAGGACCAGAAGGAGGAAAAAAATGAACAAACAGAAAAGGATGAAGAAACAAGAATTCAAAAAAATGAGGAGAGGCTTAGGAACCTTCAGGACATCTTTAAACATTCCAACATCCGAATTATAGGGGTACCAGAAAGGGAAGAGGAACAGCCACAAGTGGAAAAATTATTTGAACAAATAATAAAGGAGAATTTCCCCAATCTGCCAAAGGAAATAGACTTCCAGGAAATCCAGGAAGCTCAGAGAGTCCCAAAGAAGTTGGACCCAAGAAGGAACACACCAAGGCACATCATAATTACATTAGCCAAGATTAAAATGAAGGAGAGAATCCTAGAAGCAGCAGGAGATAAGGGGACAGTCACCTACAAAGGAGTTCCCATCAGATTGTCAGCTGATTTCTTAAAAGAGACCTTGCAGGCAAGAAGGGGCTGGAAAGAAGTATTCCAAGTCATGAAATCCAAAGACCTACATCCAAGATTGCTCTATCCAGCAAAGCTTTGATTTAGAATGGAAGGGCAGATAAAGTGCTTCTCAGATAAGATCAAATTCAAGGAGTTCATCATCGCCAAGCCCTTATTATATGAAATGTTAAAGGGACTTACCTAAGAAAAGGAAGATAAAAAAGATGAACAGTGAAAGGACAGCAAACTCACAGTTATTAAGAACCACACCTAAAACAAAAGCAAACTAAGAGGACAGCTAGATCAGGAGCAGAACCATAGAAATGAAGATCACATGGAGGGTTAGCAACAGGGGAGTGGGAGGAGGAGAAGGGGGGAGAAGGTACAGAAAATAAGCAACATAGATGGTAAGTAGAAAATAGATAGGGGGAGGGCAAGAATAGTATGGGAAATATAGAATCTAAAGAACTTGAGACACGTGGTCATAAACTAAAGGGGGGAATGGTGGTGGGGGTGTGCAGGGTGGAGGGGAATGAGGGGGGGGAATAGAACTGTAATGGCAGAATTAATAAAATGTATTTTAAAAAAGAAATACATGACAAAATATCAATATATATGTGTGTATGTACCTCTGTCCACTGAGGGGAGTCTAGGAAAAGCAACATAATAGTGATACTCTAATAGCAATGAAAATACATAGAGCCCAGATCATGTCTTCTAAACACTATTTCCATTAAAAAGAACTAGCATTCCTTGGAGAAATGGCTGATTCCAGGGCCGAGGCAGGGAAAGTACATGATGAGCCTGAAATATCTTGTTATGCCATAAAGCAAGGAAGTACTTAAAATGATGAAGACCTGTCAAAAACCACAGAAGCTATCTTGAATGTGCTCCTATTGGCCAAACTGAAGACAACCTGAACCTCAAATTAAACATGATGTAGCAGATTATGATGCACTGAACGAAACAGAAAAACATGAGTCCATATTGATATAAATACATAAATGAATAAATTGAAAAAGTCCAATAAGAAATAATATGCATAGTTTCAATGTATATGCATTTACTATAAAAGGGGACAAAATATGCATTTGATCTTATATGTGATTAACCAATAGATCACAATCTATTAACCAATAGATTTTGTCCCCAATGCATACCAAACAAAATATGCATTTATTATAAAGGGGAAACAAAAGAGTAACTTTACAACAGAAATGTTTGGTAGATACTACCATAATCGAGCGATCAAAGTGAACATGATGAGTAAGAGGATGAATCAAAGGTATATGCCACCTAATGGATGCATCAAGCACATCAATTCTCTGACATTTCTCCTAAGATGTATATCCAGAATTTTAAACCCCAAGGACTCATCAGAAAAACCCAGACTGAAGGACCTTCCACAAGAGGACCTTCCACAAAAGAAATGATGTGTAAAAGTGCCAAGGTAAAAAAGCCAAGGAAAGACTGAAGAACTGGTCCAGACCGAAAGTGACTAAGGAAGAATGATAACCAAAGGCAATTCATGATTCTGTACCGGATCCTTCTGCCATAAACATTATGGGGACAATTAACACCTGAATGGAATCTGAGAATGAAATGGTTGTAATGTATTAGTATGCATCCTGACTTGGATGACTGCAGTGGTATAGCCAGATGCTCTATCAGTAAGAAATACATATGAACATATTTGGGGGTAATGGAGGAGCATCATCTATTAAGTAACTTGCTTTCATATATATGTGTATATATTTTTATAAAAATATGTGCATATATTTTTATTTTTATATGTATATATTTTTTAGGGGGAAAAGATTTTGACATTCAGATTGTGAATTTTCTATTAGGATGCACATGTTTAAAAAAGTTCTTTCAAAAAATTGTTACTCTTTTTATGTGTGCAGTTAGGTATATAGCCTTCAAATCAATATGGAAGGAGAGCACTGCATAATTTATTCTGTTTATCAAGGTAAAAGTAAAAATCCAGCATAAGGCTCTTTGACCAAACAAAAATGATTTTTAAAGTTTTCACTGACCCTGTTGGTAGTAGCTATAAAATGGCTAGCCATTGGCTTTTACTTTTATTGCCCAAATGCCTTAGTAACACTGGAAAATAAAACATTTTTGGTAAAAATATAATTAGTTCATAGATTGATGCTATGTAGCCGAGGTTTCATACATTAGTTAAATGAAAAAGACAAGCCTACAATGCTGAGTATAAAGTAAAACAAAAAAAATTTATTAACTTACCTTCTCAACATTTTATTTTACATTAGCACACAACAAATTATCTGGGATTATTCAAATCTTTTTTTATTGATACCTTATTAGAGTCTATCTCTCAGAAATAAAGGGTTTAAGCTGGGAATAAATGCATAAATACAATACAGGAAATGATCCCAAAATGAAGACATAAATAGGCAAATAAAGAAATGAGAATCTCCTTTCCCAAAATAAATAGGAAATGAAATAAAAATTCTATAAAAGCAGAATTTGAGTAACACCTAAAATCAACTTTGTGATTTATGAATTTAAAGTTCAATAGCAAATTTCTTTATACAGTAATCAAGATTTGTTAGTAACTAATATTCTAAATATCTGTAAACTAGTTATTTTTAAGTCAGGATGCAATTCCTAAAAAAGCAGAATCATAAATGATGATTAGTTTTCCATACCAGTTCATAAAGTTTGTTCAACCAGTAATGCACTGGAACCTAAACACCCCTTGTAACAATGTGCTTCTCTAGTTAAATCAGTACAGATTCCATGGCCCACGAGAAAAATAATTCCTTCCTGACTGCAGTCCTTGAAACTGGATACTGGATGCCGAATTCCTTGCCACATAACCCATAATCATCTGTTATTTCTAATCTAGGTTTCTTTGCAGTTCAGGAGCATTGTTAAATAAAAGGCAGTCACAGCTTCTTTCTACTTCAGACAAGAAATATGGCATCTCAGCCAGTCATTTAATCTATCTCAGTATCAATTTCTCATTTAAAAAAAATACTACCTATCTTAAGTAGGAGGGTTGTGAAAATCAAATAAGATAATGTACATATGACATCTATCACTGTGTCTTGCACAGAATAGATGCTTCTCATAATTTCACTCCCCAAACCGTACCCTTTCCATTTTTCAATGCTGTCTCTCAGTCCTTATGCAACGCATTTCATCAAAATACTTAATTCTTCTTTTCTAGGCAAGGGAGGTATTAGGACAAGATAAAATGAAACAGGAAGTGAGAGCAGTTTGACTTTTCATTACTAAAAGATTTTATCTAATTCATCTGTAGTTTCACAGGGGGAACAAAATGGTTTGAAAAGTGACAGCAACAACAAAAACAATACACAGGCGAGACAAAGGACACAGATAACATCTCAGTTCCGGGTGAGTCAGTCTTCACAATGCGGCTTCAGTGTTTTATAAAAAGTATAAAATTTTCTTGATGACAAATATAAACCTGAAGATATCATTTTGGCTTTTCCCTTCAACTAGTAAGAATAAAGATCCTTTATAAATTTCAAAAATCTTATATTCCCTTTGACTTTACAGTTTTGGGTAGACATTAACATAACTTTTTTAGGAAAACCCCATTACATTAACATTAAGGAAAAAATTAGAAGGTGGCCTTTTTTTCTATATAAAAGTTTTCATTTTAATTATAAAATTTAATTACAAGTTTTAAATTTACATGCAGTTCTAGGCATATACCCATTACATAAAGAGTTGGGCACATAGGTTATTTTTTCTTAAATTATTTTCAGTGGAATCTACAAGTTCTAAAGTCAACAGTTTTGGGTGTTCGTGTTTTACGCATGGGTCTTCTCACAGTCTTTACTATATTAATCTGTATTGCGTTTCTCTAAGAAAGAGCTATAACAACTGTTCCCATGCTTCATACGCATTTTATTGAAGGAGAATCTAGTAATATCTCATAGAACATTGAAGACAACTGAGGAATTACTGCTAAGAGTGATGCTTCCTTTGTGAATTTTATTCCTTTCCACAACTTTTCAGATGATTTGGTTGAAAGAACGGGGCCTCTCATCACCAAGTCCATTCACACATTGATGGTATTTTAAGTCTTCAGTGGCTTTAACGGTTATCAGGCCTGACCAGAAAGCACAGCAGGAAGAGCACGGCTTGTCCTGGATTATTTAAAGTGCAGTTCACCCACTTGCTAGCTGTATGATCTAGTATGCTACGTTCCCTAAACTGTATTTTACTCATCTGTAAACTGCAAATCATGACAGAATGAGGAACTTGTGAAGGTCACAGAGCTAGCCAGTGGTAGAAATAGAATATGAATCCAAGGCCAACGGCCACACTTTTAACTACTTCATTGTGATGTTTCCTTATAACCACATCTCACAGTGACTAAGAATAAAAACTGCTTTAAAAGTATTTGTTTGCTTATTTATTTCTCCCTTACTGGGGTAAGAACACGCAACAGGAAATACACCCTCTTAGATTTTTCAGCACACAGTGCAGCACTGTTAACAGCAGGTGCTTCGTTGCACAGCAGATCTCTAGAACTTACTCATCTTGTGTGACTGAAACTTTATACCTGTTGATTAGCAACTCTCCCTCCCCCCTCCTCCTGCCCCTGGTGACTGCCATGCCACTACCCTCTGCTGCTGCGAGTTGGATTATTTTAGATACTGGCTATTTCAGTTAGCATAATGTCCTCACGGTTCATTCATGTTGTCATGTATTGTATAATTCCCTCTTCCTGAAGGCTGAGTAGTGTCCCATAGAATAGTGTCTAGCACATAACAGGCAGTCAACATATGGTAGTAGTATCGATAATTCTGCACAACTGCCATAAGTGGGATTACAACAAACTTCGTTGACTAATTTTCTGTAAAATTGATAATATTAATACTATTGCAGACTTTGAGTTTTGTGTGATAAAAGGCTGCCCTGTTCAGATCAGTCTTCCTGAAAACGTTAAATTAACTCTATTTTAATTTTTTCCCAGAGCAACAAAGATAGTGGAATTATATCTTTCATAGTCAAAGTTTTTTAAAGATTTATTTATATTTAAAGAGATGGGAAGGGAGGGAGAAGGAGACAGAGAGAAACACTGATGTGTGAGAGATACGTTGACCAGTTGTCTCTCGCACACCCCGATCCTGGGAACTGGCCCACAACCCAGGCATGTGCCCTGACTGGGAATCGAACTGGTGACTCTTTGGTTTGCAGGCCGACATTCAATCCACTGAGCCACATCAGCCAGGGCCAGAGTCAAAAATTTTTCAACTGCCAAAGTTATATGTTCTGTAAAAAATACTTTCAAGAAGAATCCAAATAAACCTATCACACAAAAACAAAGGCTCGAGAAGTAGAAGCCAGAGCCCTGGCTAATGTGGCCCAGGGGACTGAATGCCGACTTGCAAACCGAAAGAAGTAAGACACCAGCAGGACACACCCCGAGAAACTCTAAATTATACTTCAAGCAGAAGGAAAACGATCCTAGGGGTTTGGAATAAGATACAGGTAGTCCATGGGAACATGTGGGCTAATCTAAATAAATATCAAGCACATAAAACACAAGGGGGAGTACATGGTAATGAAAAAAATAATAAAAAAGGAAAAATCTTGTGAAGTTTAAAACTCATAAAGAATTGTAATACATAACAATATCACATAGGTCAGACAAATGGGGTCTAACTTGCTAGTCCCTGCATTGTCTGAGGAGAAGGTAAAACTATCTTTAATCTTATACTTTACTAAGTATTATTAATATTTCTAGAGATAATTTCTAAAAGACGAGAAAAAGAATTATAACTTTAATTAGAACAAGAAAAAACTGAAATGATGAAACTATCAGTCCTTAAAGGGTAAGACAAAAGAGAAAAACCACAATGGAAAAGACAAACAGAAAACACAGGATATGATGGTAGAATTTGAACCCAAATATTTAATATCATATAATATGAGTTATAAATTATTTGGTATTAAATGTCAAATGACTAAATGGGCTAGTAAAAAACCCACAATTATTGTCAAATTGGATAAAAATTAAAATCTAATGTATAACCCTGTTGGAAGAAGCATATTGACAATATAAAAATAGGTACAGTTTGAGGTAAAAGAGTGAAAAAATACTCAAAGTGTGCAAATCAAATAGCAAAGGCTCAATTTATATAAAGCAAAAAGAGACATAACTATGAAAACTAGAAAAATCCACAGTAATCAGAATTTGTTACACCTCTCACAATAAAAGAGTATATGTAAACTACAATAATTATTTCTATACATTGCTATGTTTCTTGTGCATAAACTACAACTACCGATATATCATACAGAGAGAAGAGGATTAAGATTAATTTAGCCCCATGTTTTCTTATATCCTCTGCTACCAAGAGAAGTGTTGGCTTCTTCAATTTTAAATTTAAAAATAAGACAGGTCTTTGCCAATGAGAAGAGGGTGGCCATCAATTTCAAGTCAAAGACAAGGATTCGGCACATACAAAATAGTACGGTTCTCACGAAGCCGGCCTCACAAACAAATGTCTGGCAAGAGCATAGAGAGAGAAAAGTAAACTTCACTTTTGGAGAAAAGGGATGGATATATTTGAAAAACCCATAGAATGACTCATGCCTACATTACTTACGCTAATATCTACTTCAGGGGAACATATTAAAATTAAAAGTTATTACTCTCACCACATATACAAGGTCGGTCTGGAAAAAGTCCAGCCTTTGTTACTGTAATGGGAGCTATACTTTTTGTGTGACATCGATGTAACCTGGCAGCCAAGGAGAGTAGACTGGAATGTGCACGCATGAACAATGACGATTTCACTGTACTGAAGCGGGGCAGTAGACACTGTTGAGTGAGCACGCGTTCTGCGTGGCCGTCACATTCAAAATGACTGCACAAGCAGAGCAATTAATCTGCACCAAACTTTGCATTAAGCTTGAACATTCCACCACCGAAACTCTTCAGGTGATTCAGAAGCCCACAGCTGTGGGCAACTGGTGATTGACAGCTTCATCATGACAACGTACTCAGTCATGCATCACCAAAAAACTCTGCACCTGGTGAAGAGTTTTTTGGCAAAACATCAAACTGCCCAGGTGACTCAGCCCCACTATAGCCCAGATCTGATACCCTGCAACTTCTGGATTTTCCAAAAACTAAAATCACCTTTGAAAGGGAAGAGATTTCAGACCATCAATGAGATTCAGGAAAATATGACAGGGCAGGGCAGCTGATGGCAATTGGGAAAACTGTGTGAGGTGCCACGGTGCCTTCTTTGAAGGCGACTGAAGCATCATTGTCCCATGTACAATGTTTCTTGTATCTTGTATCTTCTTCAATAAATGGACCTATTTTTCATATTACATGGCTGTATACTTTCTGGACAGACCTCATTATCAATATAACACATGTAATAAGTAAATTATAGACCGTACTTACCATTTCCATTAATAGACAGATTATGGGTCTTGAAACTGTCCTCAGCACTTTCCAAGGTCAGTGTAGTGTGAGCTAGCAAATTATACTTTACACCACTAATAGTGAGAAAGAAGACATGTTTTAAGTACTCTAATACATTTTCTATTACATACAATATCAGATGTTTAACAACAACAAAATAAACCTAGTTAAAAAATGGGTAAATGACTTAAATGGATAGGACATTTCTCCCAAAGAGATACACAAATGGTCAATAAAAACATGAAAAGATGCTCAAGATCACCAGTTATTAGGAAAAGACAAATCAAAACCACAATGAGATACCACTTCACAGCCATTAGAATGGCTATCATAAAAAAACACTAATAACATCAACAACAAAGAAAAATAGAAAATAACACATGTTGGTCAGGATGTGGACAAACTGCTGATGGGAATATAAAATGTTGTTATCACTATGGAAACAGCATAGTGACTCCTCAAAAAGTGAGAAATAGAATTGCCATATAAGTCAGCAACTCTCCTTCAGGGCATATTCCCAGAAGAACTGAAAGTAGGGACTCAGATCTGTGTAAACTCATGATAACAGCAGCATTCTTTACAACAGCCAAATAAGGAAGGTAGCCTAAGTCAAGGCTGAAAGGATAGAAAACATGTATATACACACAATGGAATATTACTCAGCCTTACAAAGGGAGAAAATTCTGACTCCAGCATTGGATGAATTGCAAAGACATTATGTTAAGTGAAATAAGTCAGCCACAGAGGACAAATACTATATGATTGATTCCACTTATATGAGGGACCTAGGAAAGTCAAATTTACAGAAACAGAAAGTAGAATGGAGGTTTCCAGGCTCTGAGCGGAGAGGGAAACTGGTGTTAGTGTTTGGTGGGTACAGAGTTCCCGTTTGGGAAGGTAGAAAGTTCTGGAGATGGACCGTGGCGAGGGTTGTACGACTCTGTGTATATGCTTAATGCCACTGAGTCATATACTTAGGCAAACTTTTTGTTATGCATATTTTACCAAAATAAAAAAAACACATTTAGGTGTTATAAATGACAGTCTAAAGTTAACATAAATGATTAATCGACTCTTCATTTGTTTATACTACTTCATCTTAAGAAAATCTGAAAATTACTTGGTTTAACTTACAAATGTTTCTTTTGAAGGGTCTCCATCCATTCAAAATTGTAAACTTAATACCTTATATGTGCCATGTCACAAGATTATGGGCATGAATGGTAAATAAGACTCAGAATTATATTCTGATGCAGAAGGGGGGGAAGTAGAGGAATAAATCAAATACTAGTATTTCAAAGTTATAATGCAACTTTTTCTATGAAACAAACAAAGGGTATAAGAATACTGAGGACCTATGTTAGGTAGGGGAATTGAGAAAGGACCCTCCAAAGAGCTAACAATTATGAATAAAAGGATGGGGCCAAGCAAAGGATGCAGAAAAACATTGTAAGCAGAGAGAATACCAGGTGCAAAGGGAGGCTGAGAGAAGACAAGTGTGGCTGAGGCACAGTGAGCAAGTGGGGAACACAGTACAGCACTGAAAATACAGGCGGGGGTTGAATCCCCTAAGACTGAGCCCTGGAAGAACAGAGGATTTACTTCCAAGTGTAATGGGAAGTTACTGGAGAAGGTTAATTAGGAGGATAGTGATGGAACCTGGTTCATACTTATTTCCTGGAGATCAGAATAAACCTCCTTCTTCTGGTTTATCCACTTTAAAGATTTGTAATTTTTATCTATAGTATGGGGAAATGGAGATTTCCCCACTCCAACTTCCATTTTTTTCATTAAGCTACCTAAGTTAAAATAACACATTGCCAAAGTATCTAAAAATTGTGATGATAAATTTCATATCCTGTCTTTCTGTGGTGATAAAAGGTGAAAATTTTTGTTCAATAACTGTATTTCCTCTGCTAGTAATCTTAATTTTATTTCAAGACATCTCTTGGTTCTTTAATTTTCCAAAATAATAAAATCTTAACACCAAAAACAGTAAAGAAAATGTTTTAAAAAAAGGAGGAGACAGAGAGATGGACAGACAGAAATACAGACAAACCTAGGGAAAAAAAAGAAGTCTGACGGGGATCTCTGTCAATTATGCCAGGTTATATGTTTCATAAACCTCATCTCGCTAATCTTTTTTGTTTGTTTTGGGGTTTTTTAGGATTTTATTTATTTTTAGAGAGAGGGGAAGGGAGGGAGAGAGAGGGGAAGTAAAACATCAATGTGCCCCCTACTGGGGACCTGGCCCACAACCCAGGCATTTGCTCTGATGGGGAATTGAACCAGCAACACTTTGGTTTGCAGGCCCATGCTTAATCCACTGAGCTATACCAGCCAGGGTGTCATCTCACTAATCTTTAATAAAATCTCTACTACAAAGGAAAAATAGGTGTACGTACTAAGTATGCAGTACATGCATGTATACACTTCTTCGGTGTAATGCCATACCCTACAGAATATTACCCACTGTGAGAACACCTCTTGGTTTTTGTTTTTCCAGTTATATTGTGAAATCATTGATATACATTACTATGGAAGTTTAAGGCATACAGCACAATGGTTTATCTTGGTTTTAACATGCAACTATCAAAGACCACACCTATCTTTCAATAACCCATGCTTTTTGTCAGTATTTATACAGGAAAATTTATGTTTCTGTCTCCCAAACATTTTTTTCACAAAAAACAACGCATGAGTAACTTTCAAGTTACATTCTGAATACAGCTGCTATAATATCAGACTCATATGTGAAAGTTCAGAAAACTTTGCTCAGTATTAACAAATCTCCACTTTGCTAGAGCTAAAAGGTTCCAGCCTCATATTCAGTGTAACGATTCTCTGCTGTTATTCACTTATCCTGAACCGGTATCTAGAATGCTTTTCATAATTAGCTCTTATCTTTCCCTAGTGTTAGACAACAAGTACCCCCCCACACCAAAAAAAGTTGAGGAAGTATTTAAAAAAAACTGTGGAGAAACAATCAAAGCAATTGGGAATAGCAATTATAATGGAAGAGCAAACATCGCTACACAAAAGCTGCCTATTAACAATCACAAGCTGTTTTAATATTTTAAGAATTAGTTCAACATGATAATTTGTCATTGATATACAGGTTTCATGGAGCTACATTATCATTTTCCACCACTTAAAAGGATAGGAAATAGACTCCCGTCAGCATGTTAACACAGCGCGTTATCTACGGGAAGAGGTTCTTGGCAGTGAGTGGACAACTGCCGCAGGGGAGTGACGCTCGCCTCGGCGGCAACAGGCCCAGCGGCTGGAGGGCAAGGTGGGAGAGGGAGGGGGGACGTCCAACAGGAAGGAGGGGCGACACTGTACATCTCAGTGCTGTGCAGGGCATGATGAGGCACTGGATTTTATTCTGCGTAAAATGGGGAGCAAATGGTAGGTTTGGGGCTATGTGTTGTGATCTGACTTGTATTTTTGATCCCTCTGGTTGCTGTATGGAGAACAGAACACAGAGGCCAAGAGTGAAAGTGAATGGAGACACCAAGCAGAAAGTTACTGCAATTGACCAGCCAAGAGCTGATGCAGGCCTGGAACAGGGTGGTGGCTGGAGGGGTGGTGAGAAGTGGTGACATTCTTGATATAGTCTTAAAGTTGAGCCAGTGTGGACATTGGATGGATGCGAAAGTAAACAGTCAAGACAACTCCAAGGCTTTTGGCCTGAGCAACTGGAATTGTTATTAACTGCAATGAGTCTAACTAAGAAGAATAAATAAAGGAAGTAAGAATTTAGTTTGGATAAGTTAAGTTTGAGACACTTTTAGGTATCTAGATGGTATCTCTACAGGCAGCTAGGTAGATGAATCTGCAGTTAGGAGAAGAAAATTGTTGAAGAATTGAATTTGGAAGTTACCAGTGCCTGGATAAAATTTAATGAAAGTTAGAAAGCTAAATGAAGTTCAAGGACCGAACACTGGGACACAAGCACTCTGTCACTAATGATTAAGCTGAAGAGCAACGAACAAAGGAGAGGTGAGGAACAGTCGCTGGACAGAAGAAAAATCCCGGAACTGGTATTCTAGAAGGCAAGTCAAAAACACTGCTTCAGGGAGAGTGATCAGTTACGGTAAATAATGTCAAAAGGTCCCGGAAAAGGGATACTGACAACTGGCCCCAGGCTCGGGGAGCATGTAGACCCCTGTTGGCCTTGACAAGAGCAATCTCTATCGGGATGGAGGCAACGTGATGAACGCTGACCGAAACTTTCTAGGAAAGAATGGGAGCAGACAAAGCGGAGATAGGGAATATAAAAAACTCTTATCCGGAAAGAACAGCTATGAAATAGGCAGGAGCAGTGAGAGATATTGCAGTATGTTTGTATTTGTGGAAATGATGCAGGGGAAAAATTCCTGATGTGGCAGAGGCAGGACGGGCACACGTGTAGGAGCCTACTTCTGAGTGGTTGAGAAGGCGTGACTAGTGTAGACTGACTAGGTGAGGCAAAGGCCGCTCACAGAGGAAAGCAGCAGATACAGATCCCAATGCTGGTGGATTTTACAGAGGGAACATATGCGAGTTCTTTCAGATTTCTTCATCAGTGACACGGTCGGCACCTTTGAGGGAGGGGTGGAGAGGATGGGGTGCTGGAGGTTTCGGAAGAGAGAATTACATGATGTAAACTTCTCACCCTAAAGAGAAGCAGAGCAGAAGGCTACGACGACTCAGGATTGCACAATTGTACTGAAAACTCACTTAAGGTTAGAGATCGTGTGTCTAACACGAACCAGTCGGTAAGACTCTTTTTCTCCGGCTTCCTCATCCATTCCTCATGAGTATGGGTGCAGAGGAGTTAAAAGTAAAATGTAACCAAGGTTCGAGTTTTTCAAAGGTTAGTATGACAAAAGGAGAAGATGCTTCTAGAAAAGAATTAAATGGCAGGTCAGGGAATCTAAGCTGAGCTGGAGGCAAAGCACCGAAGGGAGCGAGCTGGGAATGTGGGAAACAGGAGACGAAGTGGAACGCCTACTATGGAGATTGTAGAAGGTGTGCAATTTTTAGTAATGACGAGACCTAGAGTACAATCACAGGGTGGATGGCCCAA